AAATCTGTTTAAACTGATGAGGCAACTGCCATTGGGCTAATGAACTAGAGCTTTATCTCAATTCCATTAACTTGGTGCACCACATCAAGCTACAACAACAAGGAAAACTGTTGGGGATTATTGAACGTATTCAGTATATCGTTATGAACTTGCATTTTTAAAATATGCTTGAGTTTGATCATCTCCAACTGCAATACAACGTTCTAACGCCACATTCTGCAGTTATTTCATTTTAGTAACAGCCGCAATGTCAAGGTTGACTCAAGTTTAAAATCAGACAAAAGAATCTTTCCACTGTCAGATAACCCCTATCTTTTTTGGTTTTCGAACAAACTTTCTCATGACATGAACAAGATCAATCTAAAAATGTGATGCTGACATTTCTGACACATACCACTAAGTTTGACATATACACCTGATTTTTTTCAGCCTGTAGTGAAACCAATCCATTTGATTCATGTGGGATTGAGCAGTGTAACCATCTCTCTATGTCTCGTTTTTACAATTTTTACGCTTTGCTTCATAGCTGTCTCTCAAATGAAACAATTCCAACGAACAATAGCACTAGAAATTCTTGTCTAGAAGAACTATAGATTGCGTACTGTCTGTTGCCTCTCATCTGCCAAAACAATTCACATCACCGTTCACACATCACCATTCCACTATTCTTGATACTGTACAGGAAGATTTATTTTTAAAAGATTTTTTTTATTTTTATTTTCATGGATTTGGAAAAAAAAGTCTATAGTAGGCTTTACGCAATTCTTTTTTTATTATATAATTGTCTTTATTTGCATTATTTCAAGGTCTGCCCACTCATGGCAGATGGCAATGACAATTCAAAACAAGAAAAAAAGATGCCCCAGCTACAGCCAAAACATATTTTTCTGCAACCAACAAAAATCATACAGGCATCAGTCAATAAAAAAGTACAAAAGTAGATGGACATTCATTGACCAAAATACAGGGCGTGACAAAAACCTTAAACATTATTGCATTTATGATTTATAATCTGACAAGCGTATTTTATCATGACATTATAACAAACTTTTGACTAAACTTGTGAATTGAGGGATCGACCTGGGTTGAATATACAGGTAAATGCCAAATTCGTCAATCATTTTACTCCAAAACTTTTAATTTTTGCAGTTATAACATAGACATGTGTAAGCAAACTCACTTAATTTGTCAACTAATAAATTTTGGTCTACCAAGAAACCAGTGATCGATTATTCACTTAAATTAAATTCTTAACAGTCCTGAGACTGCAGATTATAAAAGCTGGACAGAACTCTCAGATTGAGTCAATTCAATAAAGACATGATCTTGAGAAGCAAAGGAAGGTTTCTCACCCATCATCTGTACTTCTTAGCAAGTTTTCCCGACGTTTCGTCCTCAAACTAGCGGACTTCTTCAGGGAAGACCCTAACTCCTTAGCATGTCACAGACCTATTGTCTGCTGGGATGCTCAAGTGGAGTGCAGGTCTCACCCCTCCTAACTCATTAGCATGTCACATGCTAATAGGTCTGTGACATGCTAAGGAGTTAGGGTCGTTAGCCTCAGCAGGGTCGTTAGATCTGCTCCCTTCTACATCAAGCAGACCTTAGATTGTTTGTGAGTTAGTATCAGGATTAGGGTGTGGCTAACCACACCCATAGGTTATAAATCTCCAACGCGCGGTCCGAGAATTCATTCCCTGAAGAAGTCCGCTAGTTTGAGGACGAAACGTCGGGAAAACTTGCTAAGAAGTACAGATGATGGGTGAGAAACCTTCCTTTGCTTTGACTAATCCCTGTACGACTGAGGGCTTACACAAACTGATCTTGAGAAGGGTATTAATGTGTGACTATTGATTCTCACTGAGCCTTGAAATGGAGTGTTGATATGAGACTGCTGCCCTCTGCTTATAACATTTTATGAGAATTGAAATCAGCAAGAATGTTTTTTCATTTGTCAATAAACACCATCATTGTTAAATTATATTAGTGCATATTTACTCCCAAACAGCAATAGTGACACTCGTATATAAACCTAAGTTCAATGATCCACAGATGCGTCTTTTCCAAACCCAAGAGCTTTGGGGAATAGGCACACTGATTACATGGATTTCTCCAAAGTTCAGAAGAAGCCAAGGGTACTGGCTAATGAGAAAAAACCTGAACTCTACTGAATAGAGCAAAACCTGTCAAGAGCCTCCCTTCAAGGTGCTGGCCAGTTTAACAGCTGCTTTGAACTATATGGGTGGAGAGTTTTATTCATTAACCAAACGTATATAACAAAAAGTAATTCATGACTTTCTCTGAAGCATTTTTTAAAATCTAATCTAGATGCAAATGTTACTATTGGAACTTCCTGAGACCGTAGCAAAGGAAAAGACGGTCTTGAAAGCAATTTAATTTGTTTCCAGGCTAGAGTAAATGAGCAAATCGATATGTGGTGTGTTTTGTCCAGTCAGAAGGGCAGAGAAAGGGACCATTTGAAAATAAGCCAAAAATATTTATGGGAAATATTTATGAAGTCTGAGTGGAATTTTAATGTGTTTATTTGGAGACGTCAATTGAAATTCGGATTGGCCGTTGTCACCTTATCTCATCGCTCCCATCAGCAGCCATGCCACCTCTGCAGCCCCATAGACATGCATTACACAGCCATACAACGCACTCTGTCATGTGTGAAATGGGCTGTGGTTGATCCTTGCCCTGAGAGAAGAGCGCCGAGACCAAAGTATTTTAGCAAGACAAGATGAGAGAAAAGTGGAGAGGCGGAGGAAATGGAGGGGACAAGGGGGAGTGAGGAGGCTAGACGGGCAGAAGCCTGGAATAACAAGCTTTTGGGGGAAAAGTGAAAGAAATAATGAAAGTCAAGACAGAGAAACCGCATAGACGTTAATCAAAAGGTTTGGCTTTGTGTTGTGGTCACAAATAAGGAAAAACAATGTTACTTTGACATATACAGTGGGGCAAAAAGTATTTAGTCAGCCACCGATTGTGCAAGTTCTCCCACTTAAAATAATGACAGAGGTCTGTAATTTTCATCATAGGTACACTTCAACTGTGAGAGACAGAATGTGAAAAAATAATCCAGGAATTCACATTGCAGGATTTTTAAAGAATATATTTGTAAATGATGGTGGAAAATAAGTATTTGGTCACTTCAAACAAGGAAGATCTCTGGCTCTCACAGACCTGTAACTTCTTCTTTAAGAAGCTCTTCTGTCCTCCACTCGTTACCTGTATTAATGGCACCTGTTTGAACTCATTATCTGTATAAAAGACACCTGTCCACAGCCTCAAACAGTCAGACTCCAAACTCCACTATGGCCAAGACCAAATAGCTGTCGAAGGACACCAGGAAAAGAATTGTAGACCTGTACCAGACTGGGAAGAGTGATTCTACAATAGGCAAGCAGCTTGGTGTGAACAAATCAACTGTGGGAGCAATTATCAGAAAATGGAAGACATACAAGACCACTGATAATCTCCCTCGATCGCAAGATCTCATCCCGTGGGGTCAAAATGATCATGAGAACGATGATCAAAAATCCCAGAACCACACGGGGGACCTGGTGAATGACCTGCAGAGAGCTGGGACCAAAGAAACTAAGGTTACCATCAGTAACTCACTACAACGACAGGTAATCAAATCCTGCAGTGCCAGACGTGTCCCCCTGCTGAAGCCAGTGCATGCCCAGGCCCGTCTGAAGTTTGCCAGAGAGCACATGGATGATACAGCAGAGGATTGGGAAGTAGAACGGTTTGGTACAAACTCATCTCGTCGGGTTTGGATACTGAGTTGCATCCCAAGAACACCATACCTACTGTGAAGCAAGGGGGTGGAAGCGTCATGCTTTGGGGCTGTTTTTCTGCTAAGGGGACAGGACGACTGATCCGTGTTAAGGAATGAATGAATGGGGCCATGTATCGTGAGATTTTGAGCCAAAACCTCCTTCCATCAGTGAGAGCTTTGAAGATGAAACTTGGCTGGGTCTTCCAGCATGACAATGATCCCAAACACACCGCCCGGGCAATGAAGGAGTGGCTCCGTAAGAAGCATTTGAAAGTCATGGAGTGGCCTAGCCAGTCTCCAGACCTCAACCCCATTGAAAATCTGTGGAGGGAGTTGAAAGTCTGTGTTCACTGCTCTCGAGAAGATCTGCATGGAGGAATGGACCAAAATACCAGCTACTGTGTGTGCAAACCTGGTAAAGACCTATAGTAATTGTTTGACCTCTGTTATTGCCAACAAAGGTTATATTACAAAGTATTGAGTTGAATTTTTGTTATTGACCAAATACTTATTTTCCACCATAATTGACAAATAAATTCTTCAAAAATCCTACAATGTGAATTCCTGGATTTTTTTTTTTCACATTCTGTCTCTCACAGTTGAAGTGTACCTATGATGAAAATTACAGACCTCTGTCATTATTTTAAGTGGGAGAACTTGCACAATCGGTGGCTGACTAAATACTTTTTTGCCCCACTGTATAATCAATACATGATGACTGGGGCTGAGACAAGTGTGATGTTTGGAGCCAGTCTGCATGGAACTGGTATGAAGTTGTTCAAGATGTACCCAGAATACAAGAATAAATCTCCCATATTGAGTTAATGTTATGTACATGTTGAATAGTTTTGTCTATAGCTCTATGGGCTTTGTGGGAAACGGCTGGAAGCTATTGCACTAAAACTGGAATGAACAAAAGTGTTTGGGCTGATGCAATTGAAGAGTCAGCATTTCTGCATGCTGTGGACATGGAGCAAACTTTAAGGAAAAATTGGCGTGCTCAGTTTTACATTTATCCAGAATAAATGTGAGGACACAAATAACCACTAATACAACAACACTTGTATGATTTAACAGAATGTGAATTGAACTCAGTGTTTTCTTGAGACCCTCTCTGTGGCAGGTTTAAAGCAGAGTATAGATTTGATCAAAGGGGAGTAGCATCCTGGAGAATCAGGATGCTATTCTGAGTGGAACCATAATCACACTGACACTAGACAAGAGCATGGGGAATATCGTGGGGTCCCGTTCCTCTGAACTTCTGCTCCTTCTCACGCTTCTTCTCTGAACCACAATGACCTCTGCCAAGCGGGGTTATAGTTTTCACCTCGGGTTATTTAACGTCTGTCTGACAACGGACAGCAGCACAAAAAGATCATGTGTATCTTTCATGAAATTTACAATTTAACTTGGAAAAACCTAACATTATCTTGATGATGATGGCCAGTGAGGATCCCTACTATGACTGAAATAAAACAAACTTAAAAAAGCAATAATATAGTCACTTCATACTATTAATACGATTAGTATTTTTTTCATTGCTGAGAGGGTTTAAGGAAAGGACATTTGGGACATTTGCTTGTGTTTTCCAGTAAATTACACTTTTCACTTTTTGATTTAAAATAAATAAATATATTGGGAATAAATACGATACAGAGCATAGACTAGTTAAAAGTAAAAAAGGTGAGTGCTGCAGAGGGTACGTGTGATAGAAGGCAATAAAAACAGGTGCTCTTCGAAGACGGGGCAATCTAAGCATGTAGAAAGTCAGAAGAGAACAAAGGTAGTCTGAGGCACTCTGTTTTAGTGAAAAAATTAAAAGTCCTTTAATGAAGTGGACTGCCTACGCGTTTCGACCAACAGCGGTCTTCGTCAGGGCATAAATAATCACCAGCAGGTGAACCTCTTTTAAAAGCAAGGCTGTCACATGACAGGAAGAACATGTGACAGAAAATTTGACAGAACATTTTTGTGAAACAAAAATCACCAGTGTGACTCAATCATAGTGAAAAAACTATGTATAAATACATGGAGCTATACATTCAGACACATACGCACAAAGCGCCACAGGAAAAGAAGAGCGAGCGAGCATATAGATGAAGGCACCAACTGTAAAACACTGATATAACAAGAGCAGTGAAATGCCAGTTTATATTCTCATCAGTATACATTTTCAAACCGGATCACAAAACCACTGTCCATAACACATTATTCCAAACAACTACAAAAAACTACAAAAATGGGGTAAAGTCTAGTTCCTCATTTAGTCCAGGGTGATGCATAGCTCCAAGCGTATCTATCCAGTATGTCTCCCTCTGGAGCAGTTTTTTGAGTTTATCTCCTCCCCTGAGGTCCATTTTGATTGTCTCTATGACCATGATTTTGAGTCCATTGATGTTGGTATGGCCCATAGTTTTAAAATGTTTGGCCAGCGGATAGTCCAGATTCTGAGTTCTGATTGCATATTTATGTTCTGCAAACCTCTCTTTCAGCTTTCTCTTGGTGCGTCCCACATAAAAGCCACCACATTCACAGTCAATTCTGTACACCACATATGTTGAGTTGCAGTTAGCAAAGCTAAGGCTTTTAAAGGTCTTCTCCTTTTTAGCATCGGTAAATGTAGTGCTCCGATTAATCTGTGGGCAATGTTTACAGGAACCACACATAAAAGTACCGGCTGGTTTTTTGAAGGAGAAGGCGGTCGATTTTTGAGGGGGCAAGTAGCTCCTCACCAGTTTGTCCTTCAGAGTGGGAGGGCGCTTAAATGAGAAAGTTGGCGTTTGTGAAAACAGTGGCCCCAGAGAATGGTCACAAGATAAAATACTCCAGTTTTTTTGTGATAGTTTGTTTTATTTTGTGAGCAGTGCTGCTGTATTGTAGAGGGCAAAAAATTGTATTTGATGGAGGAGTGGAACTCTTCCTTTTCAGAAGAGCATTCCGGTCTTTGCTTTTTGCCTTCATAAGGGCTGGATCAAGTGTCTTTTTAGTGTAGCCCCTCTGTCTGAATCTGCTGTACATGTCCTTCGCTTGGTGGTCAAAGTCCGATTCAGAGCTGCATATTCTTCTTACTCTTAGGAGTTGCCCAAACGGAATGTTGGAGATCAGATTCTTTGGATGAAAACTTTCTGCTCTCAAAATAGTGTTTCGGTCCGTACTTTTTCTGAAAATGGAAGTCTGCATCTGTCCAGTCTCCTCCAGGGTGATTTTGAGGTCTAGAAAGTTTATTTGCTCCTTACTGACATCTAGGCTCAGCTTGATATTGGGATTAGTATTGTTAAGAAAAGCGTGGAAGCTGAGTAGTTGTTCTTCGGAGCCTGTGAATATGAAGATGAGATCATCAATATATCTGCCATAGAATGCGATGTATTGTCTGAATGGGTTGTTGTCTCCGTATATATATCGCTGTTCCCATAGTCCCAGGAAAAGTCCTGCGTAGTTTGGGGCATATGCTGCACCCATGGCTGTGCCTTTTTGTTGTTTAAAAAGTTGATCCTGAAAAAGGAAAATGTTATTATGAAGTGTCCATTTTGTCAGACATACAATAAAATCTGTGGGTGGCCAGAGGGTTTCTCTCTTTTGTAAGAAGTATTGTAGTGCCTCTAGACCATCTTGATGGTCAATATTGGTATAGAGGGCTTCAACATCCATGGTAACAAGGAAAGCGTTGGGAGCCCGTAGATCTTTTAGTTTATTTAAGACTTGTGTAGTGTCCTCCAGGTAGGACTCTAGAGAACTAGTAAGAGGTTTAATGCAAAAGTCAATGAATTTGGAGGCTGGCTCAGTCATGGTGTCGATTCCGCTAATAATTGGTCTGCCAGGGGGAGTGTTCAAGTTTTTATGGATCTTTGGGAGGAGGTAAAAGGTAGCCAGTTTAGGGCTAGGGGGCAATAGGAAATCAAATTCTTGCTTTGTAATAAATTTTTGGTCAAGAGCAGTATTCAAGATATCCATAAGATCTCTTTTAACAGTTTCGGAGGGGTTCGACTTGAGTGGAAGGTAATATTGTGTGTCATGAAGCTGTCTGTGGGCTTCCTTCACATAATCAGCCTTACCCCAAATGACTGTGGCGCCTCCTTTGTCCGCTCTCCGTATGATGATGTCATCATTGCTCCTGAGCCATGTAATAGCATGTCTTTCACCTAGGGACAAATTTGAACGCATCCTTATGTCATTATTTATAATGTTTTCAACATCGTGGTTCACTTTTTTCATAAATGCGTTCAAACAAGCATTGTTGCTGAGTGGAAAGAATGTGGATTTCGGCTTAAAGCTCGTGCCTTGAGTCTGTGTGGGGTTAGCAGGTGTGGTGGCCACTTGAGTGGGACGAGTGCTATACCATGCTTTGAGATGTAAGTTACGGTAAAAGCGGAATAGATCCACCTTAGTCTGGAAGTGGCTTGTATTGTATGTTGGTGCGAAAGTAAGGCCTTTGGACAAAAGCGTAATACAGTCCGTGGGGAGTTGTATGTCTGAGATATTAATTACCGTTTCCGGTGTGGCTGCCGTGGTCGTAAATGAAAGCGACCTCCTCTTTTTTCTCCCCCGTCTCGTTTTTCTCGTGTGTGAAGCGTTGCATCTGGGGTGTTGTCCAAAAAAGAATTGGTCTGGCTCTGTGGTGCGAAATCATCTTCTTCGCTGGCGCTGCTCGGGAGACTGAACGAGACCGATTGAGGTTTCCTAGCAGGCGCCCGGGTAAAGCGCCGTTGCCAAGAGTAAACTGCACCTGTGCTGTAGTCATTTTTGTCTCTTTGGAACTTTTCCATCTTTTTTCTCGTGACCAATCTGTTGAGCTCAGTTAGGCTTTTTGACATCTTTGCCTCGGTTTCCGCTGCAGTCTCCTTTTGCTCAGGTGTTTTGTTTAGGTCTGAAAGTTTCTGTTTCACTTCCGGAATTTGTTGACGTATTTCCGTTCTTTGATGCTTGGCTTCTTCTATGAGAAGCAACATCAAATCGAAAGAACATTTGTTTAGAATTGCTTCCCATTTTTGCTTAAAGGTGACATTTTCTTTTCCGAACGAGGGAAATTTGTTTATACGTAGTCCTCTGGGGATTATTCCCTCCCTCCAGTAGTCGGATAGGGTGATGGCATGCAGTTCAAGTTTCTTTTCTTTCTCCATTAGTTTTTTCAATTCATTGTAGGATGTTTGTTCCTCGGCTGCCTGAGGGTTGTCCATATTAAAAAGAGAGTCTTTAACAATGATGTTGTTGCCTTCTTCATGAGTGAAACAAAAGGTGTTACTTGATGTCTGTGACATAGCAGGGTTCCCCACAGAGCATAGACTGTTGGAGGAGTCGACTGACTGAGCGCTGAGCACCCATAGTGTATTCCCTTTTGTGGAAGAAGAAAATTACTGCCACAGAAGGTACAGATTGGTCAGTTGGTAGGGGGCATACATGGATTTGCAGAGACTGGCCATATCTAAAGGAAAACACAAGGATCACAGAGAACGCTAAAATATGGGCTTTTCAAAGATCAAAATGATGAGTGCCACACAAACGGTTAGAGGACTTTACTTTTCAATGTAAGTCAATACAAGCCAAAGCGAGATGGAGCAGAGTTTTGTCCATGGGCACTTCCCTATTAGGCTTCATTGATCAGTGGGTCCGCGTCCATCTATATGCAGTCTGTGGTAAAGATCCAGACATTGAGTATTATGGCATTGCAGCACTAGAGGCTCCCTGCCCACTGGCCCGGTGGTCGTCCTCTTGGTGCCGGCTGCTTGGTTGGATGAATGACTGACTGGGCTGGAGGCATGCAGCAGTGTCCCACAGCTTTGCCCTTCCCTCCTCCTCAATCTGTGCATCTATCTATCTATCGCTCTGTTTTACAGCAGTGCAGCGTGAACTTGCTCTACATTACTCAGAATACTTAGGACATGATTGTTTTTTTTTTAGTTAAGTGCAACCTTCACTGATGCCGCACGGTAGTAAATAATATCAGATACGCTTGAGAGACGATGACCTACGTTCCACTATAGCTGTTTTGTCTCTCTTTACCTTCTAAAAAGGCCTAATATAAAATGCTTGTATTTATTTGCCACGGCTGTCTGCTTAGTTACTCATCTAACCTTGAGTCTGTCTTTTCTCTCCCCTGCTAACAGCACTGCGTAAACTTTGTTTTCCGGGGCGTGCTACAAACAAAGTTATCATTATCGCCTCCTCTAACGTTCAAATCGCCCCTGACGAGATTGAAATGCACTTCATTGAGGTTGAAGCAGCGTCACACTCAGAGGGACTGATGGCCTATAAAAGACATAAACATATATCATATTTAGCATCTTCACACACAATGAGACAGGATAGGTGCCACCAGAGCCACCGACTTGAACAAATAAACAAGATACTGCAGGCTGGTTAGTGTGTTTTATAAATAGTGTGGCCCTATTGGACAATTATCTTGTAACCTCGGAATCATTACTTTTTTCAATGTAAGTTGCCCTTGGAAATCCTTTACTACAGATCTACACATTTGCACACCAACATTTAACTTTGTTATTTTTACATGTGTGTACTCTCTGTACAAGCCCCATGTGTGGAAGCTATAATGCTAAGGATGGAGCATCGTAGATTTTTCAATTTTCCAATGTAATTGCCACATCTATAGCAAATCCAGTACTTACACACACAATTAAAACAATACTGAACCCACTGTGTTACTAATACAACCATATTTTATTCTGCGCATTATTTTGAAATTGAGTTATTGTTTTTTTTGGGGTTTTTTTTTACATGAAAATGCCTGTATTGGTCTTTCCTCAGATAATGCCTGCAGTAAGCAGTAGGCTGTTAAATAGATGTCAGGCAGGATGGTCACATACATGGCCAATCTTCCCAAACTTCCATCAGCCAAAGCTGCTGCATTGCACCACTGTCGTCCTCTGCTCTGCCGTCTCTCACTCTCTTTGCGCCGGAGGGAGTCCAACTCTAGCCTGGACCTATCATAAGATTTTGGAAAATAATGACTTCAATATGTTTGTTTGTGCATACCAGGACCAGATGAGAAATGGGAAATTGTGCAACAATAGTTCATAATGTAAAAATGGCCTCTTCCGAAAGGTGCAGCTGGGGAACAGTGCTGGTCCTAGCTTTTTTGGAGCCTGTGGCAAGATATTGCACTGAACTGTGGATAGAAATTAATGCCAGAAACCTTTGCTAGAACAAATGGCGTCATATTTTGTATGCTTCAAGAATTCCACAGATACATGTGGGGAAGAAATATGTCGCACTTGCATATGGCCGTGTTGATATGTGCTATTACATTTACAGACATATTAGTCTACCAGCCTTTGTGCTTGTAAGTCTGTGAATAATATGTGGAATGACAACAAATAAACACAAGCTAAAAGCTAATGGGGATGAAACATTCCAATTTGTCTCAAGTCTTATTTTAGCAGTTAAAGGTGCTATACCCGTTTCTGCCAGGTTTGAATATTTAGCACCGCCCCCCAACTCGCTCAATGGCTTCTCATTTCCCCTACACTCTCATAACACAGAGCCATCTAGGTCAATTTGCGATCTGATATGTATGCTAACATTAGCATTAGCACAACTTCTTGTAAGCTGTACAACAATCACTGATGAAATGGTACTTAAAGTGGTTCTCACCCCCGCTTCTCGGAGCTTACGTTACTCACATTTCCTGTTCAAATCTTCCTCTAAATGGGCGTAGCCTGGAGGACTTAAGGGGGCGTGAACGAGACTGGGCCGTTTACATTGCTCTGGGCGGGGGGCTGCTGACGTCAGGTCCAACTTGCAGACGTCAGGTCCAACTTCTGTGCCAGTGTTGGCGCCAGATTCAAAATTCAAATGTAGTAATACAGGTCGCCAGCAGATGGCGCCTCACAGACGGTTTTAGGCAGAAAGTCTAACTTTCAACTAATTTGCACCAAAGTGACAAGATTATGACCAGGATATGTAGACAACACTATTGGACACTCATTTATACCGTTTATCAGCAAAAAAAAGTGGATTTGAGGGTGAGTTGTCCTTTAAGCAACGCACTGCTAACACAATATATAGGTCAAAGAATACCGCTAGTTTCGCGTCCGAATGTATTCATTAAGACATTAGAATATATTTGAGTATTTAATTATAATTTATTATATAGCTCCTCACAGCAGCAGTAGAGCACTCCGTTCACTTGAATGTAATTCTACCGATCATTTTTTTTTTATAGCAGAACTCTCAAAATCAATAATGACCGCTGCCCTTTGACAATGCAATCTCTGTTTGTAATTCAGGAGTGTAAAATACTGCCATTACTTTGCAAGTACAACGAGAGAAGCTAGCGGAGTTAGCCGAGCTAGCCACGCTCAATAAACAACTACATATCTATCAATCAACACCATTAAATGTTAATCGGACAGTACAGTATACATATACATCCTTAACACACATGCACAGACTTTTTCAGAATTTCTTGTTACCGTTTTCATGACCAATTTACTATTTTAATGTGACAAAAAGCGATCGCGAAAAACCTGGAAGTAACCATTAACATGTAACAGCCAAGCCCCGGCGATCCAAGATGGCGCCCTATTCAAATGAACGGTTGTGCTCAGTGGCGCTTTGTGACAGCATGGGGGCTGAAAGATTAGCGGAAGTTGCCTGAAACTCGCAAAGATCTATGGGAAACTCGCCTGTATTTGGGCATCGTCTGGTCCTCCCGGTTCTGCGCAGTGGATGATCTCCCATAATGCGTTGCGCCAAACACGCGTGTGTGGGTCTCACACCGGGTCTCACGCACGTGCACAGAGGGACTCGGCCGCGCTCTGACCAATCAGAGCAGTTCAACAGAGCGGGAGTTAGAGCAAGAGCCAGACGGGCAGAGTTTGTGGCACTAAAGTGTGGATTTAAACAAAACCGAAGGATTTAAGAAGAAAAAAAGTTCAGGATGACAAGGGACACTAAAATCCCCACAAAATCCGACCTTTATGATAGCTGTAGGTTCTCTGTCAGCTGAGGTTGAGCTGTTTTAATATTCATTGAGTTCTATGGGGAAAATTTCTGGGTAGCCCACGTGAATTTAGTCTGGTTTAGTCTGCAGTACCGCGAGAATCCCCGCACGAATAGCTAACTATTTTATTTGCAGTTATTGAATACATTTCGAATTGTAAGGGCTGTCTAATATGTGTTCGAATATATATATATATATATATATATATATATATACATATATATATTTTATTTTTTTATTTTAGAATTATATTCGAATTTCGAAGCCGAAGCCCTAGTGTTTAGCAGCGCTGTAGAGGCTAGAGGACGCAGGCTGTTCGCCGCTCGTTCTGTGAGCGGAGGAGAACAAGCGTCCTGCTCAGACTCTACTCAGCACTTTTCACTGTTTGTAATTCTTACACAGCTGAATCAATTACCTCAAGTTTTCAATGAAATTACGGATTATACAGTGCCTTGCAAAAGTATTGAACCTTTCCTCTCATCCAAATGCCACATTTCAGGCTTCAAACATAATGATATACAAATTTATGTTTTTGTCAAGAATCAACAACAAGTGGGACACAATCGTGAAGTGGAATGAAATTTATTGGATAATTTAAACTTTTTTAACAAATAAAAAAC